TATTGGTACGGAGCTGGATCAATGCAAATATGCCCTGCTTTGCAGCTGGTGAGGGAAGATGGCTGGACTGGGTGACTTAATTCAAAAACGACGTACTGATTTTTCACTGGCGCAAATGAGAACTCCATAGAAAGAGATAAAAATTGCTGTGTGTTTTCTCTTTCAGAAATAAGTAAAAATAATTCCAAAATATGGCCCAAATGCCTCTATTCACCATTTGTATGTAATTGAGGCAAAGCCAGATTTCAAGACAGTGCTGTAGTCTTAACTGGTCTTAAGCTAAAGCAGAGAGATGCCTATGAAGGTCAGTGATAGGCTTCAAGAAAGTGAGTGACCCGCTGGGTAACTTGTTGAGGGCAGTCCTGGGTTGTTTCCCATTGTGCGCGACTGTAATTGATTTTGAGCGTGGTTGTATTGTTTTTAAAATACGATTCTGATTTTAACTTTGACTCTAAACGTCACTTAATATGCCATTACATCAAAAAACACCTTTGCAAATATATCTGGGATGAAACAATTTGAGATGGACTAGATCGGGCTTTTGTAATCATCCTGTACAGTAAGACTGAAATTTCGTGAGGTAAGGTAATGGATTTCAGTCAGAGTTGATTCTCTTGGACTTCTTTGTGGGTTTTTGATGGCTTTTGTTTTTTCTGGGGTGGAGGGGGGCGTCTCAGAGTTGTTTTGAACATTTCTGTGGGGTCTGATAAACCAAATTTAAAAGTTAATGTTCATTTTATAGTTGATGTTCAAACAGGATGGTTAACTGTCTTGTTTTTCTTGTAGAGGGTCTAACACCTGTGACCAGTAGCAGTGCATCGACATTTTCTGCTCCTTCTGGAGAATTTCTGGATTTAGACAAATTTAAGAAGCCTGAAGGAAGCTGGGATTGTGAGACCTGCTTGGTTCGAAACAAAGCAGAGGCCACAAAGTGTGTAGCCTGTGAAAGTGCAAAGCCAGGCGCCAAAGCAGATCTCAAAGGTAACGCTTACTGATTAAAACGAGGATGCGTGTTCTGTGTTTTATTTTTTGTTTTGCTCTGATTTTTTATTTTCTTACTTTTCAAGTACAATTATTTTTTCCTTTGAGGTGTGGTGTAATTGTTCATTTTTCCTATAGGAATATTGCCTCGATAAGATAACAGCTGTTTCCACACTTTTCCCCAAGAATAAATTTATCCTTTCTAGAGAAAAGCTTTCATTAATGACATGCTTGTTCTTTACATGCCCTACGTGTTGTTCATTTGGAGTGCAGACTAAAAACATGATCTTTCAAAGAAGTTTCTGTACTTTTTAAAGCCAGGTGGTAGACAGAAAACACAATTGTGAAAAGGTTGATGTAGGGAGGAAGCATGGGGTTTTCCTGTTTTACTGTTTGGTGGGTTGTTTTTTAAACAGTTTTGACTGGAAAGATCAGGACTAGAGTGTTGTTAAAACCTTCATGTACTGCAGGTACACCATGTGTTACAAACCTGATGTTCACTTATTTCTGCAGGTTTTGGTACTGCTACTGTGTCCACAAATGCTGCCTTACCATCGTTTACATTTGGTGTTCAGTCATCATCATCCTCTGAGTCTTCTCATACGTTAGATAGCACGGGAAGTTTCAAATTTGGAGAACAAGGGGGCTTCAAGTTTGGCATTGCCTCTGAATCTGCATCCTCCAACAATGTGGTTGGGGGATTTAAGTTTCCTAGTACACCAGGGGACTTCAAATTTGGAGTTTCATTCTATCTTTTGTCTTCGCTTGTCTGCTTATGTCCATCAAAGAAGAACTCTGAAACTATACTAGAAAAAAATTGGTGAGATTCGATATGTTCGTGTACTAGAGCTTTAGAAAAAGTTTAATTCATGCATTGTGTGTTTTCTGCCCTAGTTACTGATACGTACACAATTAGCAGCAATTCCTTTTTTGATCTCAATGAGTTTTGACACTAGGTTTAGGCAAAAAATTGTGACACCTTAAGGAACTTAAGGAACTTAATCTTGTACAAGCACAGAAGTTGGACTGTCTCAATGCTAGCAGTACAGCTGGTGGTAAAATCATTAGTATGGTGAAATAGAGGCCTCACCCGAGCGTTTTTCAGAGAAGAAAGAGATGAGAGCGAGGATCTTACTCCCATGTACTTGTGCCTGTGCTACAGAGCGTAGTGCTGTTTCTCTACTACTACGAAAGTCCAAAAATCACTTAACAGTCACTACACAGTTCTGCTTTCCTTTACTTTGTTAAAAGGCTGCAGTAGAGGATTGGAGTTCTTATTGATGATCACTGCGTGGAAAAATTCTGATTGCTAACTGTCATTTGTATGACTTACCAGCCATGCTTTAGAGTATGGAATTCAGTATTAATTCCAGAAGTGGTCAGGGAAAGGACGTTGGCTAGTAATCCTGAACAAAAGCAGTGTTGAGGGCTATACTGATTTTAATCGCAGTATTCTTCTAGTTGATCTGTTCCTGAACAGATCTGTTTTGGGGAGATTTGGTGGCAGGGGAGGTGTGTGTGTTTGTTTGCTTCCCCTTCTAGTTAAAGTTCTGGGGTTTGGTTTAGTCAGGAAAATTTCATGAGGCACCTTGTGTAAAAGGAAGTGTTAACCAGCATTTTTCACCATGATGTAGTCCCTTAAAAGTGTCGTAGATGAAAAGGGGCCATAAAGGCTGGGGGAAAAAGTTAGTGGGAAACTGAGAGCAGGAACACATTCAGTAATGAGAGAGCAGCAGCTTAGGGAAAGCTGATGAATGACTTTAGCAGATAGTTCTATTTGAAGTGTAAAACAACACTCAGTACTTTGTAACGGTGGTCTTAACAGCAGGTTCTTCTCCATGGCTCCTAAAAGCACGTCTTCAAGGCATTCAGGTGCAGTGAACTTAGCTGTAAGAGTTGGGCTGGTAAGCTTGGCCTGATCTGAAGCTGTAGGCACAGGGCTGTCATTTCTGAACAGGCTACAAAAGAAGCTGTACCACTGTGCTTTTCAGTGCTCCCTTTAGCAAGGCCATAAAACTGGTGCAGGCAATTGATGTTGTTCTTATAAGAGTACCTGAAAGATATTTTTGTTTGAAGAGGTCAGAGGTACTGCTTAATACTGGTTCAGATAATTACAGCCAACTCTTGGTGTTTGTGACCAATACATAAAGCCTCGAGACTGCAGGGGGGCGTCCTTGCTCATCACAAGTCTTCCACTCCTTGATTTGTGGATGGCAGCAATCAGCATGTTAAATCTGGATCTGACGGAATCACCAGTACCTGGAGCGTAACCGAGGTGTCGTTCAGGATTGCTCTTTGTACAGGGATTGAAACGGAGTCTGCTGTAGTTCCTTTGGCGTCTTGCAGTGGCTCATGTCGTGTTCTTCCTCTCAGATCAAGGAGCAGCAAAACCATCCTTCAGCTTTTTGAGCTCTGCTTCCTCCAGCGCAGCCATACCCACCACTTCAGCCAACAGCAGCAGCGTGTTTGGCAGCGTCACCTCTTCCTCCAACCCTGCACCGGTCCCTGCACCTTTTGTGTTTGGACAAGCCAGCAACACTGTGAGCAGCTCCACATTTGGCAACTCTGCAGAATCTACGACATCTCAGTCCTTTGGCTTCTCCCAAGAAAACAAACCAGCAACCACATCTTCCAGCACTGGTGTAGCCGTTGCTCCGTTTGTCTTCGGTTCAGGAGCCAGCAGTAGCAATGCAAACCCTGGATTTACCTTTGGAGCCACAACCACATCAAGTTCAACAGGTACATTTAAAAAGACGTTTTTCTCATTTTTGCCATTAGATAGCAGACCAAAGAAAAACGTTAACGCAATAAATAATGGAATGGGTATTCCTGCTAGCTTAGCAGTCCTTGGAGACAGATGTAGTATCTTCCTTACAGGTTCAATTTCATTTTGATCTGAGGGCTTAATCTTGTCATTCCTGGAAATTAAATTTACACTAATTTTTGTATACCACATGCAGAGAAAGAGCCATACTAAATTACAGCCATAAGCAGATCAACTGAACCTGCAGATTAAGCCATCTTTCAAAAATCTTCGCAAAAGATTTGTTGTTGTTGTTGTTCCAATGCAGAAGCCTTCAGGTCTGTGTTAACTGCTACCATTTATGTTTTTCTTCTTGGAAAGAAAAGCAGCCAGCCATTCCAAGTTACGGTGCAGTAGATGGTGTTTTCTGTTGCACGATGGCTGCTTACATTACATTCCAATTAATAGTGCTGTTGAAAATGTCCCTTTTTGCTCAGCAGATGTGCTGTATGTTCAGAGTCATTGTTCAATCACGTATTGTTGTTTCATTATTTCTGCTGGCCTTGAAGAACCGAAACAGCTAATTGAATGAGCTTGTTATCCGTTATGGGAAGGGACAGAATTACTCTACTAAACTGAGTTTTTGAGTATAGTTAGATTCCTGCAGGCGTGATTTGGCCTCCAGAACTGATAATGGTAAACACTTGGACAGGGAAGGGGTGCAGCTGCTGGCAAGAATGAAAATACAGGTCCTAATAGATCAGGAGCTGTATTTTGAACCTTTATATATATATATATATATATATATATATATATATATATATGCTGATTTATGTATTTTAATGTTCTATGTATATATAAGTGATAGAAGCAGCTCTTAGTAAATATAAATTAACGTGTACCGTTTGTGGGAGTTTGTTTCTAGAACATGAATGCCTAAGACAGTAATTTCAGCCTAGACAGCCAATGTGTTTGAGATGAATGTTGTCCGAGTTGTTAACATGCACCTTTTCTTGTAAGTAACATGAAAAGCAGCCAGCCGGGATAGGACTGAGGTAGTTTGTTGTTTTACATACTTGCCTGTAAACATTAAGATCTATCTCAAATATTTGAAGTATTCGTTTACCAGACTTGGAAAATGTGATGCGTAGAGTCATTCTGCAACAAAAACAAACAAACAAACAAAAAAAAAGCCCTGCATATACTGAAATTTCTCTTCTGTTCCCTGAGGGTTGTCCTCTTCGTTTGTGTTTGGCTCTGGGTCTTCAGCACCTGCTGCTGGCCCAGCATTTGGTGCCTGTCAGCCAGAAGAGGTGGAAGACAAGAAGATGCACCTAAGGAAAGGTGCAGAGAAGGGTCATACTTATCTGTGCTGTACCCTGCTTTGTCTCTTAACATCTCTGCTCCTTTAGCAGGTAGGAAGTACAACTGCTTGTTTCCAGCTGTGTAACTGGTAACCACAAGCAGATACAACTTCTAATTTGTTTCTAAATGTGTGTGGGGGGGGACTTGAGGAGTTGTAGAAAACATGAAAGCTTATATCTTTGTTGCCTCGCTTTTAATTACTTCAGAACATGGAACTATTAAATTACAATATTGCATGTTCTTTTAGAAATAAGGATAAGGTGTAGGTCACTTAAAAGCTCACGATTTCTTAGTGTCTTGGACAACGCGAAAACGTTGTGGACTACTACAGTTTAAGAAAATGAAGAAGACTTCTAATCGTAGTCCCCTTGGCTATGTATCCTTCTTGTCATGGCTAAAACAATTGAGACACATCAGAAATGAAACTCCCGAGTTGTGAATTAATAATATTAAAAGCGTTGGACAGGGTGAGCATCTAAGAAACTGACCTCAAAGTTAAGATTATTCTTGCCCCTCCCTCACATTTTTTTCTAGCTGACGGACTGCAATAAACTGAGCGTTTGCAGCTGCATTCCTTGAGAAAGACAGAAGACAGATTCTTTCAACCATGGCAAACCAGGTAAGATCCTGTGGTGAGAAATTCAGGTTTGTAGTGTCTAAATGGATCCCAGAACCATACTCAGAATTCCTAGTAAATGTAAAGCTGAAATGGCTGGCTCACTCTGAGTTGGGTGTTCTAGTCCTGTGATTTCCTCTGCTAATTTGGTAATTGGTGGTTGTCCTCTGGATGCTTGATCATAACAACCGAAGCAGGTTGGGGGCAAAACGTTAAGCTTTGCAGTTTGGATTATTTGAGCATGAGTTCTTCTGAAGGATCTTGTGAGTAACACTCTCTAGGTAAGTTATGTAGAGGTGTTCTAGAGGAAGAACACTAAAGCCTGCGTAAGTAAAAGCTACTGAAAAACGCCAATCATATTTTTGGAAATCCTTGTTCTTCAGAATACTAAATGAGGGAGGCAACCTGTGTTGTTATGGCTGTTTCTCTCCTCTTTTCTGTAGTTATCACACTTCCTTTTTAACTGTGGCTTTTGGGGTGTTTTGTTTTTGTTTTTGTTTTGTTTTTGGAGGCACTTTTTTTTTATGCCTCTTAGTTCCTGGCCTTGCATCTGGGTTTTGAGTTTTCCCCTCAGCCAAGTTAGTGCCTGTTCCTGGTCTGCTTTCTCCTTGCGTTCCATTAATGGGCCTCCTGTCGTCGTTCCTGGCCTGAGAGAGTGACTGGCAGCTAGGTAGTGAGGAGAGGCATCTCACATAAGGAAGAAGAATTCCTAGGAAAGGGGAGACAGGGACAGATGAGATTTCTTCTGAGCAGGAGTGATGATTTCCTGCCTGTTCATCACTCACTGTGCTACTGAAGACTTTTTTTTTTGAGAGTCCAAGAGCTCAAATGGAGCACAATCCAGTCCTAAGCTAATTAACGCATAGGATTGACCAGCATTGAAGGGCTAACTGCTTTTTTCCGAATTCCAAGAGGAAGCTGTCAATCCTTTAGCCAGCTTGACAAGTCAGGGGAATATGGCTGTTCATACAATCCTTTGGCTCTGTTATTTTTGCCAGGCGTTTTCCCCAGAGGCTGCTTTCCCTCATGGGAGGCGGAGGGAGAAATGGGACCCCAGGCTTCTTTCAAGGGCAAGGTGAATATGGGGAAATCACCTGTGGTGATGGGGAGTCGGAGGGAGGAATGTAAATGAGGCTAAATACTATAGAGGTGTTTTTTTATCCCAACAGGACTTGCTTGGGAAAAAACGAGAATGCCTCCAGGCCTACAGCTGGTGGAGAACACCACAGAAAAAACGAAAGAAAAAGAACAAAATAAACCCAGGAAGAATAGAGTTTGTTAGTAGTAGTAGTTCAGCCAGGTAAAAACCTTTTGAAATGAGAAACTCTGCCTTACCTGTTTGAATTGGTAGCGAATGCCATCACTCACTTTTCAAATTCCAAAATGGGTGGTGTGGTTGGTAAATGTTGCATTGGCAATACGTGTCTATAAATAATGGTTTATTTGCAGTTGCTGTCTCCCATGATCACTGGGAAGCAGTATTTCTACTGCTACTAGTCATAGCTCCTTTGAATCGTGGCTGTGGTTTAAGTTGATCATTTTTCTTGGTATTTTTATGCTGCTTTCTTGTTCAGGCAATAAACTATGCTTCTTCTTGAAACAAACTGTTGCAAGTTGTCAGAAAATGGGTCCTTGTTGCTGAAACAGTAGAATAGACCCAGAGTAATGGAAAACTTTAGATTAGAGTGGTGGCATTGCAATTTTCTACGCAACTCAGTAGAGTTCTGTACTTAGTACTCCTTACAGATTTCTCTTTTTTAGTCTGATGATAACTAACTGTGAATATAATGGGAATCAGCTATCTTAGTCTTGAACCTTAAAATTGTTCTTTCTCTCTCTCTTTTTAAAGACCAGATTATTCAATATTTGTTGGGGAGCTTACCCCAGAAGTGGGTGATTTCCAGCTCTGTGACTATTTCCTAAAGAGGTATCCCTCATGTATTGACTGCAAAATAGCAACAGACCTGCTGGGATATTCCAGGTAATTCCAGTGCAAATGTGTAACGTTATCAGTGTGTTCGCTTTTATAAGCGATATGTAAGAGCTTGCGTCGGAGCTGTTCCAGTGCTTTTTTTCTGGGGCACGAAGAGTGAGATTAGTCTTTAGCACTGCTTTTCTTAATAGCACAGATCCTTGAGTGTTTTTAAGAGCTTTCCAGTTAGTTCAGGCAGTTACTGTGATAAGCTTCAACTTACCCATATGCATATCTACATGGGGGAAAAAAAAAAAAAGAAGAACTAGAAGCTGTGGGAGGAGGAAGAGCTGTGCACTGAAATCAGCGCTGCTGTGTGTCTACTTAGTCATCTGCAATACTGAAGACAAAATAATTCCTACTTTGTTTGGGGAAAAACATAAGCCCTGGCAAATCTTAGGGGGTTGGGGGATGGAACCTAATGTTAGTAGTAAATAAAGTCTAGCAGAAACTACTGGCCATGCAGTGAGTCAAGCAGGAATGAGCGAGTTTGCTGTTCAGACAATGCTGCCTGTAACAGACTAATTCAAGAACCTTCTGAGAAAGCAGATAAAAAAGAATGTTAGTGTTATGCAGTGGTAGGAGTGGGTTAATGCTAACTGATTAACTGCTGTATATGCAGAAATATGGAATCTGATTACTTACGCAGATAGCACTTAAAATGTATTGTTTTGCTGGCTCTTAGCGAGTTGCATCTTAATGCTACCAAGGAACAAGCTTTTTGCTTCTGGCCCAAGTTGTTTAATTTGGTGAAAGCCTTTTCTGTGCATGTGCACATGCCGGAGAGGTTGCTTAAGTAATGGAAGCTCTAGTAGCTGCTATCTTGTTTTTTTGTAGAAGAAAGAAATTGAATTCATTAGTTTTGTAACTGTTATGCATACTAGAATTTGTTTTCTCCCTTTTGAAAATTGTAGAGGGTATGCCTACGTCAGATTTGGTGAGCAAGGTGATCAGATGAGGGCACTGCAAGACTGCCAGAATGCACCAGGTCTGGGGGGAAAACGAATCCGGCTGAGCATAGGAATTTCTAAAAGGTAACCAATGAGTTGTGCATTGATACAGTTATTCTAAATAATCAGATTCTTGTAGTTCTGCCTTTGTAAAGTCTGTGGCCCTTGCTGTAATGGCTGTACACAGGATGCAGTCTACAAAACCAAAAATGCAGAAGTGCTATGTTTTGACTCCCTGGATTCATCAACCTGTTTCAGGATGGCTGGGGGAATCCACCTCTTATGTCTAGCCAGACAGTGTCACTTGGGCTTAGCTGCCATTGTAACCAGCCTTGTTTCTCAACAGTAGCAAAGCTGAATGCATTCGTAAATACTTTCAGGTTTGGGCCTATATGAAGTAGAAGGGACAACAAGTGGTTTTATACGCTGGGGAGTTCTTGTTCTTAGACAACTAATTCCCAAAATCTGGGAATGCAGGGAGAAAGCCAAAGGAGTTTATTACTAGAACAGGTGTAGAATACTATTCTTTGCTTTTCATGAGCTTAGGGCAACGGGGAGTTTAAAGTTTAGCACTTCCTGAGAGGGTTTCTTACTCTACTGGCTCAGTTCTATCATTTATTTAGGGCAATTTAGGTCTCTGAATAGTTAAAGAACCGATACCAAATTTGATGAACTCTGATTCAGGATACTGACAAAAGAGGACTTCATATAAACAATTCCAATATGTACACGAGGTTAGCTTGTGTGTTCTGTTAAACAGTAAAAAAATGACACTTGTTTCTGTTTACCTAGCATAATTCTGCAAATGTTGCCTCCTGCTTTAGAACAGAAATGCTCTTCTCCAACAGAGCACTGTCCAAAATGTCAGTAATAGCCAAATGCTGAATATTAATTAAATAATAAAAACTCGAGACAATTGAACAACTGTCTAATTTTCTACAATATTTGTTCAAAATGCATCGCACACAGGACAACTCCTGATTCAAAGGTGGCAATTTTAACAGAAAAGACAAGCTACTAATACAGAAACACTAAAGGAAACGCATCTTGAATAGCAGCTCAAGTTGCTCATGAACGTACATTGAACGTAGTTGTTTTGTGGTTTTTTGTTTGCTTTTTTTTTTTTTGCTGTTTTGTTTTTAAATCAGAAGTGAAGTTTTTGAACAATGTGGATTTAGATTCTGCTTCTTTTAAACTGATAAAGTGAATGTCACAGATTTGCAGCTTTTGCAATATCTTTAGAACCCAAACTCTTTACTATTCTTTCTGCACCTGGGCTGAAGGTGGGACAGGAGCGTCGAGTTTTACAAACATTTCCTTTTCAATTCCACAAATTGTATTTACTTAAAATGAAACATTGACCATCTAGCTAGTTCTCTTAGTACCTCATTTACAGTTACATCCTAACACATAAAGGATGTTGGGAATTGGCATACAGGACGTGGACATGTGCCCGTGGAACAATTGTTCGATCTGAGCTTGCTTTAAGCAACCAGGGGTAGGCCTTAGGAATCTCAGCATTATCTGGGAATGCAGGGAGAAAGCCAAAGGAGTTTATTACTAGAACAGGTGTAGAATACTATTCTTTGCTTTTCATGAGCTTAGGGCAACGGGGAGTTTAAAGTTTAGCACTTCCTGAGAGGGTTTCTTACTCTACTGGCTCAGTTCCATCATTTATTTAGGGCAGTTTAGGTCTCTGAATAGTTAAAGAACTGATAACAAATTTGATGAACTCTGATTCAGGATACTGACAAAAGAGGACTTCATATAAACAATTCCAATATGTTCATGAGGTTAGCTTGTGTGTTCTGTTAAGCAGTAAGAAAATGACGCTTCTGTTTCTGTTTACCTAGCATAATTCTGCAAATGTTGCCTCCTGCTTTAGAATAGAAATGTTCTTCTCCAAGAGAGCACTGTCCAAAATTTCTTTGCCAAATTTCTTTATTAAATTAATATTTTTATTTTGAAAACAAGAATAAGCCGCAAACATGTTTTCTCGCTTTGGCTATCCAGATGAATGTCAACAGTATTTTCAGATTTTCCTTCCCTACAGAACTGTATGTAGGAAGAGTGCAGCTGGAACCAGAAGATGTAAGATGATGTATCTTCTGTTTGTTTACTACAGTAACAAGACAATGGATTACCTCTTTATTAGAACTTGTGTAGCTTTACAGTATTGAAACAAGCGTAGGTATTAAAAGACACATCAGTAACAAGTTTCTGAATGGCTGAGTACCATGCTCTCTTAGCATTGAAATACCCAGCCACTGGATTATTTTCAGTTGTTTGCTTGTTTTGGAAGCTGTTTCAGAATGCCTTCAGCTTGTATTCTTGACAAAAAGCATAGAACTCACTTCTCTGCATCCCCAGTTCAAGTCAGATAAATTGGGCACTGCAAACACAGAAGGCCTGCCTGTACAGAATCAGTGAAGAAAAGTCTAAACAGTGGATTTTTTTTGAATATGCAGCTGGGTTATCTGAACGTATTTTATGCAATGTACATCAGTTTTAGTATAGATAGCACTTGTCTTGGTTCTTGTCCGTAGTCTGAAGCTGCCCTGGAGAAAATCTTGAAAGGGAAAGTAGTGAAAACTAATTAGCTGGCCCTTTCTTCTTCAGAACCGCTGTATTTTGTAATTCTCCCACTGGTAAGGCTTCCTACTGGACAATTGTGATTATGTAGTTAAGCAAGACTGACTTCACCTGAGTGGTATACTTGGCAGCTGTTGAATGTTTCATGGACTTTAAACAAACAAACAAACAAAAAACTGAGCAGGTGGAGGTAGGCATGGCAAACTGTCAGGCAGTGTCAGATGCTTCTTTGAAATGGATAATCTGACTCCATTCACTTCTTTCTGGAAATAAGATCTAGTAATTAACCAAACAAAAGACAGAAGGGTTAAGACTGCATCTTTAAAGCAGCTGTGCTGGATAAATGTCTCTGGTCTTAATGAATCAATCTTTAGCAAAGGACAGAGACTTAGCAGCAGCTTGCTTATGCCAACGCTAAAAATACTTGCTATATACAGGTAACAATGTCAAGGCTCTGGAGTTAATCCATGAAAACAATTACTTCTGGTATTGGCAAAGGTGAGGATGTTTGCTTCTGTATAGATGGGGTTTTGTGCTGTGACTTGTAGTCACCTAAGTGACAGCTTTTAGGAAAGCTTCCTTTAAACTTTGAAGTACGGAAGCTGACAAATTGTTTAAGTTCAGAACTGGGTTTAGGGTTTGTTCTCTAACTGTATGCAACTTCTCGTGTTTCAGACTGAAAGCAGAATTCCAGCGGTACCAGTCATACAACTATAATGATTATTACCAAGATTATCAGAACTACTACTCGCAGTGGAGTTACGATGCTTATGCTGAGTACAACTACAGCTCCTATGCTCCCTATGACAGCATGCAGGCTGTTGGAGACTGCTCTTTAGGAGATGCTGTAATGGCTCCAGCTCTTTTTGAGGTAAAGATACTGCACACTTGCTATGAAGTATTTTTTGTTGCTATTTCACAGATAATAAGCGGTGCAGATTTGTGTGAATTGGCAAAAAAAAAAAAAGAAATCCAAAGCTGAAAACATGCTTTCTGCTTAGTGTGAAGGTTAAAACAGCAGGTTCCATTCAGAGGTGTTTGTATTTAAGTTTATTAAGTTTGTATTTAAGTTTATTTTAAGCTTAAATATTAAATCCATAGAATTAGTGATATATACACCATTTTTTGTTCATGTATACCAAATAATGGTTTTGACGGCATAACTGTATACAATTCTGTTCCTGTTCTTCTGATTTGCTTTGCTTAATGCAAATTAAACAGTTGCTGTAAGTGGTCTTATTGTGGTCAGTTTATCAGTTGTGACCTCCAGAAGTGCCTTCTGACCTGTACTGTAATATTGGCTTTCTTTTAAAAATAAATATGAAATGCCATCTACCCCTGTAGTCGTAGGAAGAAGGAATGGGTTGAGAATGCAGCACTTTGAATCTGATGCTTTCTGAAATGCGTTATGATTAAACTTAGCCTTTTCTGTCTTTCAGGAATCTTCAGTTATGACTGAAATCAGTGATGACCTAATGACTGAAGGTAACAAGGGTTCTATCATTGTGACTTGAGTGTAGCCATACTTGTGCCTTTTAACAGTACAAGCCAACCTCTACTGGATGAAGAACATCTTGAAAATTCAGCTGATGCAAAGGTCAAACCTCTGTGGGGTTGATCTGCATGCAATCAGTTGGGGTTTTAAAGCTGATACGGCATACACTGAGTGCATCAAGGAAAATGGGACGCTGTCAGTGCTTCGCAGCTAGTTTCGTGTAACTGTGCCTTCCTTCCCCTTTGAAAATGGTCTAACACAGAACTTGTGTTCTTCGTATTGATTCCACTAAGCAGATTCTATATTAGAAACTCAATAATACGCAAAAGCTTTGTTCTCCACCCCGAGGTAAAAGCTTATGTTGCAGCTTCCAAAAGGAGGATTCGGCTTGCTCTTCCAAATTTGGTACAAAACGTAATTGTGTCCTGGAAGGTTTGCAGAGTTTTTCACGTGGAGGCATTTTGTGTCAGCGTTGAGAAACTATCTTGTGTAACATCTATTAGAGTAGAAGTGAATTAAATGGCTCTTGGGAAGGTCTCATGGCCGATTATCCTTAAACGTCATCTTTATTCGTCTTTCAAGATAAAGATAATGCAGTCCTAGCCCGTAGGATTCCCAAAAGTTGGAGTTGTGAGGTTTAACATTTTAGAGGACTAAATATCTCACTAAAATAAGTAGATCTAATAGCTTATTACATATAGCTTAAAATACATCTTATCAGCCATTTCACATGAGTGTTTTTTGTGTGCATGCCTCAGATCCGATACTTGTACTTACCAGGCTTTTATTTTCAGATCCACAGCTCTACTTGGATGTTGATGAAATGAACAGACAGTTTATGGAGACAAGCGAAGAACTCTACGATTCACTCATGAATTGTCACTGGCAACCTCTGGATACGGTCACTTCTGAAATCCCCTCTGCTATTTAAGTGTCTTATATAGCATGACCGTTATGACCAAGGTGCTAAAACTACATTTCTTCTACGTTATTCTAGCTCATAAGTTTTAAAGCACAATGATAGGTTGGGGTTTTTTTGCTATGCTTTTGACAGTTTCTGTAATCTTTTTGTTCATCACTCTCTTCTTGGAGCATCATGAAATCATGTAAATATTCTAGAAATGTAAAGAGTTAAATGGGGTCTAAAGATAGACTTGCCTGTGTAAATAAAAATTTGTTTCTGCAAACCTGCCAGCAAGGGATTTTACTGGTACCTGTGTGCAGCACGTTCTCTTCTGGCTTGTGAAACTTAACAAGGTAGTAAGGGTATTTCATCTGCCTTTATTTTTATATGGGTGTTAGGACACAAGCAAAATCTCGTTTTCACTTGTTTTCCTGGTCACTTAGGTAAGTGACAAGCCAAGCCCTTCATGTGCTTGCTTAGATTGGAAGTGTGTATGGGAGACACTTACAGGCCTTGCTGTGGAGCACCTGTCTGCTCCTTCCTGCAGGCTGCTGGCTCTAACTGTACTGCTGATATCTGCTAGGTCAGCTGAAATTGGCTTCTAAATCTGGTATTTTAAGCATATGGAAGCATAGACTTGAACTGCCATAGCTACAAACATCCCATGGAACGAGGATGAAGTCTGTTGGCACTCTGCATCAGCATTCAGCTTTCCCTTGACCTTCTTACTGGTAGACTTCTCAGCTGACTTACAGCAAAGAAGTTGCTGCAATATAATACATATTCTTAAGCTAACAAAAAAAAATCTTGGAGAAAACAGTTTGCTGGCTTAAAGAAGGAAAAATAACACCAGGAACAATAAAAAAAAAAATCCTAGTAACAGCTCCTTAAGTTATATCCTCTGCTACTCTCTAATTTCTCTGGTCTTCCTTCATTCATGGTAATGAAGTTTATAAAGCTTTGGTAGAAGGATGACAGTATTCAAGTCAAAGGAGACGAGAGCAATGAGGAAAGCTTTGCTTGAAGCTAGAGCGGTCTTGCAAGTTGCTGCCTTTATATGCTGTTCTCATCTCGAAGGGTGTAGAGTATTTTCCAGTCATAGGGACTCCATAACCCTATGAGTATTAAGAAATAGTTGCTAATTAACAGTGTATATAATAATTAACTGAGGCTGGAAACAAAAGAATATTCTTCCAAGAAAAAAAGGAAGCAGAAATTACTGTACTTAATAGCTGTGGAAGCTGTTAAACCTAGCTGACACAGCTTTGGTACTGCCCTGTGTGTTTTGGGGGCAATATAAACCATAATTACTGTGATGGCAGGTAAGAATCAAATTCTTATGGCTTAGTGTAGTTAGGGAAAGTAGCAGTCGTAAGCTGGGTGCTGTTCTTGAATGTAATACAAATTCTCCTTTGTGACTCCTCAGTACTTAGAGGTTACTTCTAGCTGATCAGCAGAAACAGCTTCTGTTTGCCATTAGCTGTTGGGTTTTTGCTAGGAGTGTTTTCAGTCCTGAATGGAAATGACGACATCCTGAAACAGAAAAGGCTTTTGGAGTGTTACAGGAAACATGTTCTTCGTGGTTCTAGTGCCGGTGTACATGTAGGAAGAGACAGAAGGCAAGGAACCTCACGTAGGCGGAGGGGGTGAGGTGGGTGAGGTGGCATCACAGTTTGAGCCGTTGCAGTTAGATCTTCCCAAAGCATGGAAGCAATGTGGCGGGGAATCCGGGGCTTGGTGGGTTGCTTCCTTGTGTGAGTCAGTGAGTCTTTAGAGGGGCAGATTAATAAGACAGGAGTTAGAGGTGGAATAGATGAAGCAAAGAAAATCTGTCTGGGAAAAGGGTTGCTTGTATGTGTATTTGGAATTGTTTCAGGGGATTGAGCTGGGGCAGATTCAAGGTAATAAATGCAGCCTCCTTGAATTTGGATGGCAGTGCTGAAGCTTCAGAGCCTTACAAGGTTTGATGCCACTTCAATTGTAGTGCGATTTTTTTTTTTTAATCTATTTTCTTCAATGTGAGCAGCAAGGCAGCTTCCAGGTGTGTGCCTGCTTTGACATGGCTTGCTTTGCATCACCAAACACAGTAGTTAGGTTGCATCGAGTACTTTGTGGAAACACTCGTTGTGTTGTCAACTGAAAAGGTAGTGCTACAGATGTGTTGGCCCAGCAGAAACAATGTGAAGTATCAGTGCTGTTTTTTGGCCTTTGAGAGGCTGGTCCCTAACATGTGACTTGTAATGAGGGGCCCACATAGATAGACGATTTCATCTAGTCTGACACTGTGGTGGTGTATGACCCAAGTCTATAAACATCAAAAAATCAGGCTGTGGCCACCCATTTTATGCAGACTTTGCCTATTAAGGTCTCTAATGTACAGCATAGAGACGTGCACCTTCTGTTCTGGACTGGATAGTGCAGATACCAGTTTTGTAGTTCAGTGAATGAGGTTGGTTGGGCTGTTTGTTCTCCAGAGCTGAAAAATGTTGGGAGTGTATTCTCGTGTAGTCTACATAAATGAAAATGATGAGAGGAAGAGAAAGTTGATTGCAGTCTGTGTGCTGCTGTTACAAAGTAGTTCTCTGACGTCTTTTTCCCTCTCCTGAGATTTATTAGCCTATTTCCCTTTCCTGTTAGGAGTGCATACCTGGATTGGGATGGTGTGTGCAGTGCAGGTTCTTTACTGTAAGAGCACAGTGAATGCCAGACTTCTTCCTGTTCTGCTGTGTTAACCATGAATCACTGCTTCCTGAACTTGTGATTGCATCAGAACTGCTAGAATGCCTTGTAGAGTCTTTTTACTGGGTAAACTTCACAGCTGCAGTTACAACTTCCAGCCTGTATTAGCTGAACACATTGTATTGGTGCCCACCATCAGTTTGACAAAGATGGGATTGCAGTAGGAACTTGCTTTCTTTCTTCTTTTTAATTAAACAAGTCTTTGAAGCAACTCTTCTAAAACCACTATGCTTCAATTCAAGTTTTCTGTTTTTCTTAGCTGAGATGTTTTTTTCTTCCAAGTGTGATGAAGTTTTCTACAAGAATATCCCATAATGATTTCATAAGCTCTTTTCATTGTACCAGCTGCAATAGAAAGTGCTCAAAAACCTGCTGTTTTCTTCAAGAATAGTAGTGGGGGTTTTCCTGCCCCTTGTCTGGTAAGAAAGGCAGTAGGGCAGCGGTCTGAGGGGCTACTGATCCTGTCATCAGTGAGCCAGGAGAAGGCAGGAGTCCAAAACGGGTTAAAAAAAGTACTTAAAAGGATACAAAAAGAGTAAATGGTACTTAAGCCATGAATGGTTCTTTTTGCAGGGATGCTCTTGTCGTGGTTCCGCTCGAGTGGGCAGCCGAGCTCCACCACAGCCGCTCTCTCACTCCCCCTCCTCAAAGAGGAATGGGGAGAAAATATGTGAAAAGGGCTCAAGGGTTGAGATAAGGATAAGAAAATCACACAATAATTATTGTAACGGGCAAAACAGACCCAGCATAAGAAGATAGTAAGATTTATTGCTCATTACTAACAAGCTGGAGAAGTGAGAAACAAAGGAAAGAAACCAAAAGCACTTCCTCCCCCATCCACCCTCTTCCACCTCCTCCCCCCAAGCAGTGCAGGGGAATGGGGGTTACGGTCAGTCTACAGCACTTCTTCTCTGCCGCTCATTCTCAGTCTCTCTCGTCCCCTGTGCTGTGGGGTCCCACCCACAGGCTACAGTCCTTGATGAACTGAACCGGCGTGGGCTTCCCACAGGCAGCAGCTCTTCCAGAACTGCTCCAGATATGGGTCCGTACCGTGGGGTCCACCCCTCAGGAGCAAACTGCTGCAACCTGGGTCCCCTACGGGCAGCAGCTCCTGCCAGGTCACCTGCTCCTGCGTGGTCTCCTCTCCACGGGCTACAGGTCCGGCCCGGAATCTGCTCCGGCAGGGGTCTTCCACAGGCGGCAGCCTCTGTCGGTGCAGGGCCACCTGCTCCACCGTGGTCTCCTCCACGGGCTGCAGCGTGGAACCCTGCTCCACCGTGGTACTCCATGGGCTGCAGGGGGACATCCTGCTTCACCATGGTCCTCACCACAGGCCGCAGGGGACTTCTGCTCCGGCGCCTGGAGCACCTCTCCCCCTCCTTCTACACTGACCTTGGCACCTGCAAGGCTGTTTCTCACTCCCTTGACTCTCCCAGCTGCTGTGTGGCGCGGCGTTTTTTTCCCTGTCTTAAATATGCTCTCACAGAGGCGCAAAACAACATCGCTTATTGGCTCAGATCTGGAAAACAATGGGGCCCTTCCTAAACATGGGGCAGCTTCTAGATCTTTCTCACAGAAACCACCCCTATGGCTCCCTGCTACCAAAACCTTGCCATATAAACCCACTACAGCTCTGGACCAACCGCTTCTTTCTAGCGCTACCTCGAAGTAACTTGCAGATAGAACTCACAGGGAAGATTGATCAAATGGTGATGATCGCTGTCATTCTGCTGGACACGCATATACTTGCCTTTCGTTTTGGCTCATTTTTAATACCAATTAACTTGAGTGACTCACGTTAATAGACACCGTTTGACTGCATCGGCAAATATTTCTGAGTCATGAGTGTCATTAAAGGCCCGTCACCCTATGGAAATCCTTCTAAATAAGAAAAATGGAATTAAAATAAATAAATAAAGCAGCATTTGAACTTATGAGCAAACATAGCGTAGCTGCCTTTGACACTGATCTGGAGGAGAAAAATCACGTTATCTTAATAGGGTTGCCTTAATAGGTTTGGTGTAGGTGAGGGAGGGAAGTGTTTTTTGTTGGCCCAGCTGTTCCATGTCCAATGCAGGAGGGGGCTGAGAGTGATTCCCTGAGCACGTTGGTGTGGAAATCAGTGATTTCACTGCCCGATGCGTGTTATTAAGGGCACAATGTGTACCCCGTTACCACTTTCGTTTATTTTCTGTGGTGAAAATCCGTCACAGTGCCTATGTTTCCCGTGCCACATGGTAGAATTCAGCGTGGCGATCGCTTCCTGGACCAAGGCGGCCACGAACCCAGCCTCAAACACTGCGTGTGCTTGGGTTAACAGTGTGGGGGCTACTGGTGTGGGTCTTTTTTTGTTACTGGTGTGGTTGCGGGTTATCGGTGTGGGGGTTACTGGTTATCGGTGGGGGGCTTTTTTGACGAGCACTGTGGGGTTGTGGCGCTGTCCCACCCCCGGCGCGGTGCTGCTGCACCCCAGCCTTCGGCACCACGGGGCGGGGAGGCTCCGCGGCCGTCTTTTAGCCCCGTTCTCGTGCTGTCCGGGCCGGCTTTTCTT